ACGGAGCTAGTGGGCGGGGAAAGGACCTAGGGGAGGAGCTAGTGGGCGGGGAGGGGTTGAACCGCTGGGGGCTACTGTGCGAGCCAAGGCGTAGTTGGGTAGTAGGGGTGGGCAAACTTTTTGACTGAGGGCCACAATGGGTTCTTAAACTGGACCGGAGGGCCGGAACAAAAGCATGGATAGAGTGTTTGTGTGAACTAATACATGTTAACACTGCTGCTGGTGAAGGGGCGGAGGGGAGAGCAAGAGAACCCTCCGCTCTTTCGGCTCCGCCGGCGGGATAGAACAGCCGAACGGGCCAGATCCGGCCCGCGGGCCGTACTTTGCCCACGGCTGGTAGAATCTCGGAGGGCTGATGGGCGGGGTTAGAAGGTCAGAGTGGACTGATGAGAGGAGAGAATGTTAGGAACAGACTTTGGAGGGGGTAGAACCTGGGGAAGCTCGGTGCGGGTAAAGTGAGTACAGGGCAGAGAGGACGGGGGTAGAACATAAAGGTCCGCCGGAGTCGGGCGAGGACGGCATGGCCCTAGGAGAGCTGGCGGAGTAGAGCGAGGGTCGGCGGGATCGGGGAGCAGAGCTTGGCTTCTGGACGGACTGAGAGTGGAGATAGGGCTTTGAGGATAAGGCCCGCATGCAGACAGCTTTCCAGAGGAAATTAGCGAGGGGAGACGTTAGGGAAGGACTTGGGGGGGGGGGCGGGTTAGAGTCTTAGGAAAGGGGTGCGTAGATAGAACATTGAGAGAGAGAGACAAGGAGTGCACTGGGCTGGAAGAACGTGGCGAACGAACCTGAGCGCACAGGGCTTGGAGACTTGGTCCTGGTATCGGGACATCAGGGGGCGAGAGGGGGACCCTGGCCCAGAGCTGTAATAAACTCTCCGGTGGTCCCGCTCTCTCCCCCAGCCGCCTGGGGCCTGCGGTGCATGCGGTGCGAGAGGACCGGGCATTGCCAGGTGCAAGAGTGCCCGCCCGGCCAGGATCTCTGCAGGACCACGATCCTGAGCATATGGCAAGGTAAGCCCCCACTCCAGCGCCACCGGGCATGCGCCTGACCGGGAGGCTTGTCTCACCAACTACCAGGGAAATGCAGACAGACCAGGAGACCGCTTCACGCCCACCAGGCTGGCAGACACTTAAAAATCTGACAATGCTGGGGTCATGGGCATGTGGAGCTGCAGACCCCGCCTTCAGGGGGCTCCACCTCACGGAGCGATTTGGCAATCTCTAGTGTAGACAAAGAGTAGAGTGCCCTACAGCCAGCATTTCAACTCCTAGGAACATAGAAACACGAAGAACCTTGGCCGCATCTGCCCGGGGACTGCGTGTGCCCAGGGACTCATGTGTAAGAATGTTCTTAGCAGTGATGTTTGTGATAGGAAAACTGGAAACACCCTAAAGTCACTTGGCAGCAGAGGAGAAAATTATGATGTAATCACATAATGAAATACCACACAATTTAAAGAAGAAACCAGAACCGGGGGTATTAACATGGATACACCTAAAAACTATAAGGTGGACAGGAAAATAAAAGCATGTGGCAGAGTATGATACCCTTAAATATAAAGTGTGAAATATGTGAAGCAACAGTGTAAGAATTACCTACACTGGTGGCTGGCCCTGGACAGGGCATAGGGGAATGTGAGAGGGCAGGGTGGGTTGAGGGGGGTGGGGTACGTATCTTTTAAGGTTAGTTAATTTTAAAAATATCTGCACTAAATGTAACAAAGTGCTTAATATTTTATAAAGTTGGATGATGAATGCACAGTAGTTATTATATGATTGCCTTATACTTTTGGGGTAAGCTTAAAGCATTTTCCTTTAAAACTTCATATTCGAGGCATCTCCCTGCTGATGACTAAGTTGGGAGGGAAAGGGAGATGGAGCTAGAAGGTCTGTGTTGTCACTGAGAGAGTAGGGTCCCTGTGAGGGGTGGGGAGGCGGGATGACTCTAGAAAAGACAGAGTTGGACCCAAATCAGAATAGAGGCCTGAGGATCAGCCACAGGCGTGGTTACCTTAAGACCAGGAGTGTTAGAGGCTGGTTGAGCCCAGAGGCGCCTCCGGGGTAACAAAGATACACTCCTCACAGAAGGGGAAGAGCTGGAGGTGGTGGAGACAGACTGTGCCCATCCCGAGAAGACCAATAGGACCATGAGCTATCGGATAGGCATGCAGATCATCACCCTGACAGAGGCCGTGTGTGGGTTTGATTTGTGCAACCGGCCCAACCCTGGTGAGTACGACAACCCTTGCCATGCCCAACCCCAAACTCTCTCCAACTTAACCCCATAGTCATCCCGATCCTACCCTTAGTCCTATGCCACCCCAACCCCAACTCCATGCCTTACCCCAAGACCAACCCCAACTCAACCTCACCTCCAATCTCCTCTCCAAATTCACTTTACCTCTAACACCCTCCCACTCAAATTCATCCTTGTTCCAAACACATCTCTAACCCCATCCCTGAATCAACCCCATGTCATCTCACACTGTTACCAGCCCCACCCACAAACTCATCCCCTTCCCTAACTCTGCCCCATCCCATACATGTTTGTGGGCTTTTGTTTTTGTTTTTTTTATTGTTTAAAGCAGTGGTTCTCAACCTTCTGGCCCTTTAAATACAGTTCCTCATGTTGTGACCCAACCATAAAATTATTTTCATTACTACTTCATAACTGTAATGTTGCTACTGTTATGAATCGTAATGTAGCTATCTGATACGCAGAATGGTCTTAGGCGACCCCTGTGAAAGGGTCATTAGACCGCCAAAGGGGTCGCGACCCACAGGTTGAGAACCGCTGGTTTAAAGTATTACACATGTCTCCTTTTCCCCGATTGACCCCCCTGCCCCCCCGCCGCCGTACATGTTTGTGTTTATGGTTGTTGAAGTATAAGATGCGACACCTACTCTTCCAAGGCTACACTCACATACACTCAAGAGGTAGATGAGGTATCGCACTGAAGACTTGTCCTCTAACCTTTTCCATGGGACAGGAGATGGTTCGGGCAACAGATCATAAGGGACAGGGATACAAAGACCAGAGATACCAGAGGCTCAAAATTCTTAAGGGAAGTCCCAGAGGAGGGGGTCACAGGCCGCAGTGGGCTCAGAAAGTTCCCTGGAATAGACGCTCCTTGACTGTCGCAGTGGAAAGGATGTGAGGAAACGTGTTGAGTCCCGTGGCTTCAGGCTCTGGTCAGTTTACAGAAAAGACTTAGAAAGATCCCAGTTCCCCACATTTCCACAGGAGAGAAAGGAGGGGGAGGAATGGAGGTCAGAGAGAGATTCTTTTTTTCTGGCCTTAACGAGGAAGGAAATTGATTAAGGCCAGTCCAGTCACAATGCCCTCAGTAAGCAGAGAGTCTGTATTTGTATTTTTTTCTTTTTAAAAAACAGGTTTTTATTGATTTCATGGTTGGGGGGAGAGGGAGAAAGGGATAGAAACATCAATGATGAGAGAGAATCAGTGATGGGCTGTCTCCTGCACTGCCCACGCTAGGGATCCAGCCTACAACCCGGGCATGTGCCCTTGGCCGGGAATGAATCCGTGACCTCCTGGTTCGTGGGTCAACACTCAACCACTGAGCCACACTGTCTGGGCGTACTGGGTTTTTCTTGTTCTTCATCCATCCTGACCTCAAGCTTTTATCTGTTGGTGGGAACGGAATCAGATGCTCATTTTCAAGGAAGTGATGCGAGAGATGACGCCAGCGTCCTCTGTGGTTAGATATGTCTAAGGAAAACATAATAATTGGGTCCAACTAATGCTTCTAATGAGAGAAAATATTCAAAAGACTTAATAATATCGATCAGTGCTGAAGGCATTGATCAATTGGAAGAGGCCCCTGGAGGCCCCCTGCTGGGTCTGGTGTTGCTCCGTTAGCTGGTGGATCTTGGGGACATGAGGGTTCTAAAGAAAGGGTTGAGGTGGCCAGGGGTCTACCAGGGAGCTCGGAGCAACAGCTGTCAATTCAGTAGTTTAAAAAATGACATGCCCCTATCGGCCCCATTTCTAATGCCATCTTTCCCTGCGGTGGTGACTAGGTAGTTGGTTAAACCACATCCTGTACGTAAGTGACACTGGGCACAGCTGTGACCCAGGCAGCCTCAGGCGCTGGTCCCACGGAGCTCACAGTCCAGGGGCGGGGGAGACCCATCGCCAGACAGTGACCGCCCTGAGTGATCAGAGCGGGAAGGGGGGGGGCACAAGCAGAGGATGAGAACCATAAGAGGAGAAGCAGAGACTGTGTCGGGGGCAGCACAGCCCAGAACGGTCAGGGCTGAGCTGGGGGGAACAGAGGCTAGAGAGGGCAGGGCTAGGCTACGTGAAGGGTAGCGGCTGTGGGACCCTGGAGGGGACACTTGACCAGGTCAGGGAAGGTTTCCTGCAGGAAGCAACAGCTAAGCTGGATCTGGAGGGATGATAGGAGTTAAAAAGACAGTGGAGCCTTAGCTGGTTTTGCTCAGAATAGAGCTACAACCTGGGGACTGATGGGTCCCAGGTTCAGTTCTGGTCAAGGTCACATGCCCTGGTTGGGGGCTCGATCCCCAGTAAAGGGGGCGTGCAGGAGGCAGCCAATCAATGATTCTCTCTCATCATTGATGTTTCTATCTCTCTCTCTCCTCTCTTCCCTCCTCTCTGAAATCAATAAAAATAATAAATAAGCAAATAAATAAAACCCTAAAATATAAAATAAAAAGACAGCGGAAAGGGTTTTCCAGGCAAAGGGAGCAACAGATACAAAGGCCCAGAGATGGGTGGAAGAAGTATGGCTGGAGGAAAGGTAACATGGGGTGAGAGGCATGGTGCATTATATTATACAGGGTCTCCAGGCTGTGGTGAGGAATATAGACCTCACCCTGGGAATGGGGGGAGGTCATGATGGAGGGATGCGGTGGTGGAGGGAAGATAGGGAAGGGGAGCCCCACTTGGGTGGATGAGGTTGTCCAGGTGACGACGAAGGTGGCTGCATTTGAGTGTCAGCCCTGCAGATGGGGAGAAGTGGGTGGACTCTGGAGCTATTCACCAGTAGATGAGCAAGGGTTAGTGCCAGGTTAGACATGGCCGTGGTTTTGTAGTTCTGGTCACAATGGAGTCAACTGTATCAGACAACCCCCGCTGCCAATGACAGCTGTGAAAACTGGGCGGATTATAGACAGTTATTTGAAGCCACTGACGGGCAGCGCAGATGCAGAAACGAAGCTGAGGTGCTACAGTCTTTGAAATAGGGAAGCGCAGATGTTGAGTCCCTCAGACAAGCTGGGCTTTTCCTGGAGTGCACTTCCCAAACGGCACCTGTCGGGGAGAAGCAGAAGCAGAAACCAGAGAGAGGTCGTCGCTGGGCCAAGAAGACAGAGGTGGAGTCTGGGGCTGTCAGTGTCTAGAAAATGAGAGGGAAAAGCCAGAGAAGGGAATGGGGAAATCTGCAGATGACTTCCTCAGTCATTGGCAGGCTGTGCAGGCATAAGGTGAGACTCCAGGGAACTCAGCAGGACGCAGTATCAGGCAGCTACAGAACTGAGCAAGGGTTCCAGCAGGCAGAGGACGCTGGGCAGACCCAAGCTGCCAAGTTGGCAAGAAAGGCCTTGGTAACCATCTCCGGCTTTTCTCTGAGACCACCCCCTAGGAGTAGGGGCAAAACTGAAATAGACCGGCCCCCCAAAAAACCTACTTC